TGGTGCATGTAGTGCAAATTATGCAATGCACGTATTTCCATTTTTTAACGAACCCGCAAGTTGGTCAATGGTGTTAACACAAACGAAGAAAGTGGAGTCAAATAATATTCTCACGTACTAATGAATTGATTTAGACGATCGTCATTGATTATTTAAAGGGCATGTCTCTTTACGAAAAATTTCCAAGTTTTCCAAGTTTTCAAGTTTAATTAAAACTAAATAACGTAATAATAAATCTCCCTTTGCTAAATATTTGTTATATTTATTATTTATGCTTCAATAAATAAATAAATAAATATATTTTTTAATTTTTTTAGGGAAAATGTCAAGTACGCGCTTAGTTGTCATATCGAATGGGGTTGCAGCCCCAAATACCCTTTATTGGACGGCAAATTCAGATGAACAAAACAATAGCACCACGATTACTCTCCAGCCACGAGCTTATGCTGACCCTAGCCAAGTCTGGGTCTTAAAGAACGATGGTACTAGTTCTGGAAAGAATACTATTATTAACGTAGGCAACAAAAGCCAAAAAGTTTGGGTCGTTACTGCCGTCGATGGCAATAATCTCTGTATGAAAGAGTATAATTCGGCTGACATCGTCAAACCGGTACAACAATTTATTATCACTACTCCTTCTAAGCCGGGGGTTCCTGTGACTCCTTCTAAGCCGGGGCTTCCTGTGAGTCCTTATGTCATTCAATCTGTTGGCATGGCAAATCAAAATGTAATCTCCTACGTCAAACCGGGAGTTACAATTCCAGAACTCAGTCTTTCTCCCAAAACCGACAACGGTCAATGGATCATACTCCCTATTATTAATTAATCCTTAGCGTTAGTGTTACGGATTTACTTGTGACTGTATCACCAATCATGTAATAAACAGTATGGCTTAGCGAGAACAATGCTATCGCTATGTGAAAACAAAGTGTATTATATTTTTTTTTTAATGAAGTTGAGAAAAGTATGTGGAATGGTTTGAGAGTTTAAACGAACACGATAAGGCTCTATACACGTTATATTGTCTCAGAAGCTCACTCGATACGGAGTGTAACTATTACTGTACATCGTACCTCCTGAGACAAACAAGAGGCATTCTTCATTGTATTTAAAGAATCGATTATGTGCAGAATTTATGTCACGTTACTTCCAATTTTGATAATTCGACAATTATTCCGTATTTATGGTACAGTCAAACCTCTCTGAGTGCACGTCGTCGGGACCGACGATGCACTTGCATTTAGAGAGAGCGTGCATTTAGAGAACGTTAATCATTTTGTTTCACGTGACATCTT